AGTCGTACCTCCTCCCCGAAAGCTCAGGAGGTTAAATCAGATATTAATGTGAAGGCTGCTGACCCAGGGTGGGAATTCAATAAATGGTAGCCAGAGGAAAAACCATGAGGATGCTGATTTAAAAAAAAAAAGAAAATAGAAAAAAGAAAAAACTTATGGGCTGGTGGAGTGAATAAATGAATGAAACCATTTGTGTAAGAGGCTGTGGGAGACTTGGGGTCCAGCGTTGGGCATGACCAAGTTTGAGTGGAGCCTAGGCCCTCACCAGCTGTGCCCACCCATCAGGGTAACTTGCTTCCTTTGCCCCAGGGTCCTGATCCTTGAACACTGCTGACCCAGTATCGCCAGGAGTGGCCAGGAATGAGATGCTGCTCTGTGGTGCCCTGCGCAGAGCCCCACAGAAGAAAAGAAACTCAAACATTATCTCACTCCCTACCTGCCTCTGACATTCATGGGGTGATCCCTGTTCTTGCTTTGATCACTTTGTCTCTTGATGACACATCACCCCCATGACCACCCCGGTCCCATCAGGAAGCCCACACCAGGTGCTTCACAAGCATTTAAATCCTGAGGTGACTCTGGGATCCAGTCTTCTCTGATGGCTCAGTGGCTGGGGGTGGGGGACCCAGGGAGAAATTCAACAGATTCCGTCATATGGAGTTCCTATTAAATGATGTTGCAAGATGTCATTTTTGTTGGTTGGTTAATATAAATATGCATGTGTTTATTGTTCTAAGACAATGTGCATTAAGGGCTTGAGTTTCTTTGGGCTGCACATGTGTTACCCAGGAACTCCAAGGAGTGAAGACGGGAAAGAATGATGCAGGCGGCAAAGGCAAATGCATCACTGGATGATTCCACTCGGATTCATTGGCCTCAGGTGGGTCCAAAAGCACCGCCTTAGACAAACTGTGGATTGGATCAGGCACTGGATTCACTGCGCAGGGCTGGTGTCCTTGCTACTGCTGCTGGGAGGGTCTCCCATCAAGATGACAAATGCATGTAGCCTGACATTCTCTTGGACGCACATTACCTGTTACTCACAGCGAGAGAATCTGCGGCCCAAAACTTGGGTTTCATTGGAAGAGTATTTGCTGTCCAGCGAGCCGGCTGCTCCAACGAGGAGCCCCAAGTACAACACTCTGATTGTGTCCTCGGGGCCTCGAAATTTCAGTTCGGGCACAGACTAAGTTCTTCCTGTTCAAAGATGTTTTTTCTACGCTTTCTTCCCCTGTGAAAATGAGATTGAATGCCTTCCTTGTATCAGGCATGCTCAAGCGGTGGAGGAAATCGCAGAAAATCCAGAAGGATTAGGCTAACTGAGACAATTTTTTTTTTCTTTTGGGATCATATTTGGGCCCATTCTCTGGGTTTAGCGGGTTTCTCCAGCTGGCCTGTAGGGAGACTGACGCTCAGTCCAGCCAGCGTCTGGCCACAGGGAGCCCTCGTCTGAGCTTGGAAAACAGGACGCTGATCCAGGACAACAGTGTTTATGGAGCACTTCCGATGTGTCAGGCACCAAGCTGAGTGTTCTCTTATCTCGTTTAATCACCCAAGCAGGGCTATGAGGGGGACTTTGAGATTATTGTTCCCCTTGTGCAGATGAGGTCATGGAGGCACAGAGCAGTCATGGCGTGTCCACGGACACACATTTCTGAGCGGTAGAGACAGGGTCTGACGTGGCGTCTGGTCCCAGAGCCTCTGTCCTTAGGAGACCTGGTTGTCTACTCATCCTCACCACTGACATTGAACATAGAAGCAGTGTAGGAATTCTGTGCGTGCAAGATGAAGCGTTGTAGTCAATTGTGCTGGGGTGTGGGGCCTGGCTTGGGTAGATGTTAAAATAAGTTGCCTAATTTCCATTTCTGAGTTCATAGCTTTCTGAAAATGGTTGACTTCAGACCACTCTAGAATCACTCCTGAAGTTCTAAAAATTGCTTTCTAATAAGTGTGTTGGGGGATGCTCTTATTTGTGTTTCAGTGTTTGTGAGACACCTGGAGCATCTATTCTTGATAAGGGCACTTTTCCAAACAGGATTTGTGAAGAGGGTACTCAAATCTGAAGACAACTTGGGGATGGAAAGTGTTTCATTTGACCAGCAGTCGCATCACCATCACCACCAGCTCCATCCTTGTCTTTTTTTAAAGTATATTTTATTGATTGTTATACAGTTGTCCAATTTTTCTCCCTTTGCCTCCCTCTGCCCGGTACCCCTCTTCCCTCCAGCAACCTCCCCGCTTAGTTCATGTCCATGGGTTAGGCCTATAGGTTCTTTGGCTTCTCCATTTCCTATATCGTTCTTAACCTTCCCCTGTCTATTTTGTTCCTACCAATTATGCTTTTTAACCCCTGCACCTTTCCCCCCATTCTCCTCCTTCCCCCGCAGATGATAACCCTCCAAATGATCTCCACACCTATGATTCTGTTCCTGTGCTTGTTGTTTGCTTAGGGTTTTTTTTTGTTTGTGTGTTTTGTTTTGTTTTGTTTTAAATTCAGTTGTTGATGGTTGTAAATTTGTTGCCTTTTTAATGTTCATGGTTTTGATCTTCTTCTTTTTATTAAGTAAGTCCTTTTAACTTTTCATGTAATAATGGCTTGGTGAAGATGAACTCCTTTAGCTTCACCTTGTCTGGGAAAGACTTTTTCTGCGCTTCCATTCTAAATGATAGCTTTGCTGGGTAGAGCAATCTGGGTTATAGGTCTTTGCTTTTCATCACTTTGAATATTTCTTGCCAGTGCCTTCTTGCCTGTAAAGTTTCTTTTGAGAAATCAGCTGATAGTCTTATGGGAACGCCTTTGTAGGTAACTCTCTGCTTTTCTCTTGCTGCTTTTAAGATTATCTCTTTATCTTTAATCTTTGGCATTTTAATTATGATATGTCCTGGTGTGGTCCTTTTTGGGTCCAACTTGTTTGGGACTCTCTGTGCTTCCTGGACTTGTATGTCTATTTCCTTTGCCAAATTAGGGAAGTTTTCTTTCATTATTTTTTTAAATAAGTTTTCAATTTCTTGCTCTTCCTCTTCTCCTCTTGGCATCCCTATGATTCAGATGTTGGCACGTTTGGAGATGTCCAAGAGTCTTCTTATACTATCCTCATTTTTTTTTTGAATTCTTGTTTCTTCTTTCTGTTCTGATTGAATGTTTATTTCTTCCTTATATTCCAAATTGTAAATTTGAATCCCAGCTTCCTTTCCTTCACTCCTGGTTCCCTGTGGGTTTTTCTTTATTTCACTTAGTGTAAACTTCATTTCTTCCTTTATGTTGTTGCTGTACTCAATGAGTTCTTTGAGCATCTTGGTCACCAGTGTTTTGAACTCTGCATATGATAGGTTGGCTATTTCCATTTCATTTAGTTCTTTTCCTGGGGTTTTGTTCTGTTATTTTTATTTGGGCCGTATTTCTTGTCTCCTTAGTTTGGCAGCATCCCTGTGTTTATTTCTGTGTATTAGGTAGAGCTGGTTTGACTCCTTGTAAAAGACACCTGTAAATTGTGTGGAGTGGAGCCTTAGGTAATCGCCAGAGTGGGGCAACCATCTTCACACTGCTTTGTTGCTCTGTGTGAGGGGAGGGTTTGGAGAGGAGACTGTGCCACAGCCTGGTTTCTGGGGGTTTGCCCAGCACTCGCCCTGTTTCCAGTCACTTCACTGATTCCCCATGGGTGACTGGTGCCCTTCTAACTGTTGCTCTGGTGTTGAATCCCAGAGTGGGTGGGTTTGCATATGTTTTAAGACCCTGCGGGCCCTTTAAGTGAAGTTTCCTGGAAATCTGGCAGTTTCTTCTGCTGCCCCAACCCCCACTGGTTTTTACAGCCAGAAGCTATGGGGATTTATCTTCCTGGTGCTGGAACCCTGGGCTATGTGGTCTGGCCTGGGGCTGGGATCACTCACTCCCAAGGTATCCCTCCCAATCTTTATCCTCCACACCTGAATATGGGACTTCCCATGCCCATTCCACCACTGCCGCTGCCTCTCTGTGCCATACCACATCTCCTTGCCTCTCTGCCCTGTCTCCGAGTCTCCACCCCTCCTACCTGTCTGATGATTGTGGCTTCTTTAAAGCCTTGGTTGTCAGACTTCCATGCAGCTTGATTTTCTGACAGTTCTGGGTGATATTTGTTTGAGATTTAGTTGTAATTCTTGTTGTGGCTGTGTGAGGAGGTAAAGCGTGTCTACCTACATTTCTAGTCTTTTAAAGAAAATAAATGAAATAGGTACAGATGGGTTTCCTTCACAACGATCCAGGGGTAAAGGGGTAAAAGGGTATAGAAGAAATGAGATTGAATGTGAGTTGGTAAATTGTTGATGCTGGCAATGGACAGATGGGAATTGGTTATAGCAATTTCTTTCCTTTTGTATGCTTGATTTTTTTCCTATGATAAAGTATTTTTTCCAAAAAAATTAAAATCACTTTTCTCAAGCTCCTAGGAACCAACATAACAGGAGGGTGGGTGGGAGAGAAAGTATGCAGAATTCATGGATCTTAAGGATGTTCACACACACACACGCACACACAGAAGAACGCGGGTTTAAAGGAATCCAGGAATCCAGGCATTTGACGCTAGGAGGAAAGTTGAGATAGTTGTGTTTCCTTCTCTCATTTTACAGTGAGAACTATGAAGACCAGCTAAGTGGCTTAACCAATTTGGCACAGCAGTGGTAGTTATTTTGCCAGGACGAGGCTGCAGAATGACATAGACTCCTGGTCCTTTTTTTTTTTTTTAAAAAAAAACCATGTCATGTAACAGAAGAAAAGAATTTAGTATTTGCTGTTCTGAAAAGCATTGAAGGAGGCAGTCGACCAAGCCTTATACTCACCACTTGGGTAAAAAAATGAGCAATGCAGTGAGTCACGATATTGGGATGCTTTGCGGTCTTGCGGCTGGGACTTCTAGGCAGTGGGCTGGAGTCTTCTGTTTTCTCAGGATGTTTTGGGATCTGCTGAAATATTTGTGAATGCTGTGATTGGACACTGCACAATTCCACCCTCTTTATCTTTTCAGACATTCCCATCCTGGCAGGTGACATGATACCCTTGAAGCATTTTCCATGGAATGGGACATAATAAGAGGGGTCAGAGGCTTCCCAAATCAGCAGACAGGCTGAAGGTGAGTGTTCTAGTTGGGCCTCCAGAACTGACTCTGAAACAAGAAGGAATGGACCCGCCAAGGGAGCTACACGTTTATCTCAAACAGGAGGCAAGAGGTTGCCACTGGATCTACTGAATTCAAGAACAGCTATGCCTGAAATCCCATGTCAGGAAGTCACCACCTACCTGCTTCTTGAGTTCCCAGTGCAGGTGATTGATACTGGAAAGCTACTGCAGAAAACCTGGAGTCTCCATGGCAGTTCAACTGTGTGCACCTGCTGAGCCCACCTGGGCTCTGCTCCAGGCTGCCTCCCTTCTGCCTCTGGGTCGCGGGCAACTAGGTTTCACTGGCTGAATCTCATTCACATCCAACACTTGTGTTACAAGGGAGTCTGGGAAAAGTAGCTTTTTACTTTCCGGATCAGGAAGATGCATGAGAAAAGGGGAGTGGATGCTGGGAGCCAATCATATACAACACCACAAAACATAGGTCCCTTTCTCTGCACAGAGAGGGCTCTGTTCATTGCACTGGCCGAGCACTTGTCCAGCTGCCTGTGACTAGCAGGAGGCATCAGCCTCTGTTTCCCTGCACCTTATCCATCTTCGGTCCCCAGCATCTAACAGGGTAACAAGTGCCTATTCAAAAAGGACATGTTAGTTTAAAAAAAAAACCTCATCTGATTCATTTATAAATTTTTTTGAGAGAGAGAGAGAGAGAGAGAGAGAGAGAGAAACATCAATCAATTATCTCCTTTATGTGCCATGACTGGGAATTGAAACTGCAACCTTTTTGGTATACAGGATCATGCTCTGACCAACTGAGCCACCTGGCCAAGGTAAAGGACATATTAATTTTGTTTTTAGTGTCATTAATTCTTCCACTATTTACCCATCTCTTCATTCAACAAATATTTACTAACACCAGGCATTGTCCTAGTGGTTAACAAGGAGCTTCCATCCCAGTTGGAAAAAGCAGACAATTAGCAACAAGAAAGCAAATCAAAAGGAAAGCTAGTTTCAAGTAGAGTGAAGGGCAATGAAGAAAGTAAAACCAGGCAGTGATATAGAGTGTGATACAAAGGAAGGCACATCTGAAGTGGTGCCATTTGAACCAAGGCTTCGATGACAAGGAGTGGGACAGGCAAGAGGGAACAGCACATGCAAAGGCCCTGAGGTGGTCTTCCAGGATCCAGAGGAGGCCAGTGTGGCTGGAATGGGGAAAGCAGAGAGCAGAGGATGCGGAAAAAGTAGAAAAGGAGGTGGAACATGTGGGCAGGGCCCAGGATGATCCTACTGGCCTGGCGGGCCATGGAAAGTGGATTTTATTCTAAATGTGATGGTCAACCATGGGCAGTTTTTGATGAGGAGAATGACATGTTCTGTTGGTTGTTTTAAAACATGTCTGCAAATTCTCTGATACTCTTTCTCTCAGAAGGGCAGTAAGGTCTATGTGTCCCTTCCTTGAACATGGACAGGCCCTTGAGACCATCTCAACAAATAGAACGTAGCAGTAGTGACACTATGTAGCTTCCAGGGCCAGGAGAGAAAAGGGGACTGCTTCTGCTTGCTTCTTTCAGGACACATGCCTTAGACACATCAAATGGCTTTGTAAAGAGCCTGGCTACACAGAGGCCCCGCGCTGGAGACACTATCTGGTGAGGCCACACAAAGATGAGAGAGGGGCCCGGGGGTCCCAGCCACTCCAGCCCCACTGTTCAAGTCTTCCCAGCCAGGTGCCTGCAGATGACCCCAGCCCAGCGCCCATGAGACTGCGACAACATGAGAGACCTTAAGCCAGGGCCACCCCAGCCCAGCCCCACTCAAATTCCTGACTCGCAGAGACAGAAATAATAAAGCCATGACATTCTGCCACAAGGTTATGCAGCAATAAATAACCAGAAACCACCTGATTTACATTTTTAAAGTAAACTTTGTGTTGAAATAGGACTTAGATACAGCTGGACAAAGGCAATGCACTCTATCCACAGCATGAAGATCAAGACAGAGTGTCCTTGTCCCCTAGAAGTCCTTCATCCCTCCTTCCAGTCAAACCCACCCTGCAAAGGACTGAATGTCTGTGATCCCTCAAAATTCACATGTTGAAATCCTAACCCCCAATGGGATGGTATTTGGAGGTGGGGCCTTTGGGAGGTGACTGGGTCCGAAGGGTGGGGTCTCTGTGAATGAAATGGGTGTCATTATGGGAGAGACCTGAAAGAGCTCCCTGTCCTGCCCGCCAAATGAGGGACACAGAGTGCAGACACCATCTGTGAACCAGGAAGCCGGCTCTCATCACACACTGAATCTGTTGGCACCTTGAGTTTGGGCTTTCAACCTCTAGATCTGTGAGAAATAAATATTTGTTGTTTAAGCCTGTGGTCTGTGGCATTTTTACAATTTTTATTTTATTTTTTATTTTAGAGAGAGGGGAAGGGAGGGAGAAAGAAAAGGAAACATTGATGTGAGAGAGAAACATTGATTGGCAGCCTTCTGCATGCACTTCGACCTGGGACTGAAACTGCAACTCAGGCGTGCGTCCCCTCTGGGAACCGAACCAGTGACCTGGTTTGCCAACTGAGCCACACTGGCCAGGGCTATGGCATTTTTGTGCAGTAGCCTGAGCTGACTGAGACACACCTAAAGGTGACCACTCTCCTCACGGATCACAACAGAGTCTTGCCTCACTTTGAACATGGAATAAATGGCATCATACAGAATGTGCACCTTCCCTCTGTGCTATGTGCGACTCACCCAGGGAGCCATGGTTCATTCATCTCCATGACTGCGTGGCATTCCATCACGTGAAATAGTGTGAGCTCCTCATTCATTCCTCTCCTGAGGGGCATGGGCTTGTTTCTGGTTTGAGACTATCGTTGATAGTGCTGCTATGTCTTTTGGTGAATACATGTGTGCATTTCTGTTGCATATTGTTTCTGAATCTCTTAGTGTGTAAGAGACTATTATAAAATTTAGTGGCTTAAAACAGCAACCTTTTTCTTCTTTCTCAGGATCCTGTGGATGGCCTGGGCTCTGATGGGCAGTGCGTCTGCTCCACGCGATGCTCAACGTGCATCCACTGGACTGGACGTCCGAGCAGCTCACTCACTGGGCTGACGGCTGGCACTGGCCATTGCTGGGAGCGCAGCTGAGACTTTTGACCAGAGCACCTCAGTTCCCTCTCCTGGGGCCTTGCCGTGTGGTTCCAGCTTCTAAAATTAGGGTACCTGAATTCCTTGAGAAAGAAATAGAAGCTTCCAACCTTCTTAAGACCCGGTTCAGAAGTCCCAGCTGTCATCCTATTGGCCAGAGTGGGGAAAGGGCCTGACTGGACTTGAGCTTGGGAAACAAGCTCCGTCTCTGGATGGGAGGGAGGACTGGCAGGTGCCTCAGGGAGGGCATCGTTGCTGGGGACCATCTTTGGAGCTTAGGAGGTTGGTGTCCACTTGAGGAAGACGGCTCTGGTTGCTGTGAAGAGGAGGCTGTGCAGTCAGAGTCCACCAGCCCTTCTCACGCTGACTTCAGCCTCTGCATCAAAGGCCTGCCCACTCAGGGCTTCTGGGTGTGAGCACTGAGTGAGCAGGATTCAAGACCTCCCTGTGGCCAGCATCTTCATAAACAGGCCACAGAAGTTTGCTTCATTTTGATCCTTGGCTTCTGCCCCCAGCTCCTCCACAAACCAGAATGTGGCTGCTCCATAGAAGCGGCCCACGCTTGACCCCCCAGCTCGGATCCTGCAGTTCAGCGCCAACGCGAGCAATTTAGCGCCAACTGTCACATTTGTCCAGCATGGTGCTGTGAGGATATTCATCAGCATGGGGCTTGGAAAGTCTAGAACAGGTCCCCTAGTGAGTCTCTCTGAGGGAATAGATAGGAACACTGTGGTGTGTGCACAAGGTGGAGTACTATGCAGCAGTGAAAACTGAATGAAAATGCAGCAACATGAACAGATTCTAGACATTTGACATTTAGAGCCAAGGTGGGGGCAGCGTAGTGCTGATGGTGCAAGCAGAGGCTCTGGAGCTGCTGAGGGTTCCAATCCCTCCTCCCCCAGTGGCCATGACCTTGGGCAAGTCACTTACCGTCTCTGAGATACTTACATCCTCAGAAATATGCAGGCAGGAAGGTAGGCTCACTCTATGGATGGTTGGTTGCTACTCACCTTTTCCACGTACAAATGGGAGGGGCAGAGAAGGGCACGAAGAGAATGTGGAGTGCTGGCCCTGAGTATGACAAGCCACTACTTAATGATAACTAACTGGACCTCAGGGGAGACAGCCACAGCTAGGTGACCATACGTCCCGGGACAGAACAGATCCATGCCTAGTGTCCCAGCTTCTTATCCCGCTTAGACAAAGATGGGCAAAGAAAGTGGCTTTACAGAAGGGAGAGACAGACACAGAGAGGACAACGCCACCTCAGGACACTGAGAGACACAGAAAGAAGGCATGTGACAGCAGAGGCAGAGATCAGAGCGATGGCGCTATCTGCCAAGGAAAGCCAAGCGGCAGAAAGAGGAACCTGGAAAAAAAGCTCAAGACGGATGCTCCCCCAAGTCTCCAGAAGGACCAGCCTGCCGACACCTAGATGCCGGCTTCTGGCCTGCAGAGCTGTGAGGGAATCAACCTCTGTTGTTTGAACCCCTCTAGTTAGTGGTGCTTGTGAATGGCAGTCCTAGGAAACCAATAGAGATTTAGGCCATCTCAATGTATGTACTTGTTAAAGATGTGACATTATAAGTCGGTGGGTTGTGATAAAATGCAGTAAGTTGTGTTTTTAAAACAAGATAGGTAAAATATCTATACCTTGTATGTCCTCATAAAGATAAAAATCTAAGCCTACACAGGGTTTTTCTTGTTTTATTTCATTCCTTTAAACAACAAATAATGTGGCTAAAACAAACTGAGATTTTTTTTCATGAAACAAACAGAAAGGGTTCAGTGACTTAAATGAATAAACCATCCCACCAGCGTGGAAACAGGGTTTGGGCTCTAGACAGTGGGGAGTGTGTGTGTGTGTGTGTGTTATATGGTGTGCATGCGCATGTGTGGCAGTGTCTGTGGAGTTTGGGGTTTTGCTCATTTTGAGAGAAGGGTGTGGAAGCCTTTTCCAAGAAATGCTCACCAGTGTGCTCCGTCAGGGCTGCAACATCAGCTGCCCCCAGACTGGCTCAGGGTTCGAGCTCCATGTGACAGTAGCTTTGCCTCCTGACATCTCTTGGAGTTCAGCTACGGAAGGAGCCTCCACCATTGAGGGCAGGATTCCATCCTTGTGACCCAATCTGTCCCTGAGTCTCAGGACATGCCAGTTGGAACCTCAAGCAGCTGACCCTCCTGTGGGAGCCAACAGCACCCATGTCTTTGAAAACTTGCCAGTGCTCCTGGGATTCCTACAATACTAGGGATCCTGATCTCAGCATTTTCCATGTACTGATTCATTTAATTCCCTTAGAAATTCTAGGAGGCTAGACCATTATTATCTTCACCATCCTTATTCTACAGATGGGAAACTGAGGCATAGAGAGGTTGAGTCACTTCCCCACAGTGGCGCTTGCAGGACCGGAGCTCAGAGCTCCCACTGCACCCATGATACACTCTGCGCTGCGGCCTCTTGAAGGCTGGCACAGGTGAGGAGGCGAAGGGGGGTCCGAGCTGCTGAGAGGGAGCAGCCCTGTGATCCATCCATCCTTGGCTCTGTCCCACACGTCCTCAGGCCCAGCTCCTTTCCCCCTGGGGTTTAGCTGAAATGCTGCCTGAGAAGAGGGGCCACCCCATGTCCAAGGCACCCTCCCCAGCCCTCACCATTTTGGTCTACAGTTTTGTATAGTGTTGATGTCCCTTCTGGGAAGGCCATGTCCTGAGGGCTGGGAACGTTCTGTCTTGTTCCCCTTGGAGGCCACTTCCCTGGCAGCTTGGCAGTGCCTGGCTCCGATGTCCTGGTCCTGCTCCCCATGGAAGGAATACCCACCACCAGCCACAGGGCACGGGGGTAAATCAGGTCCTGCCCTCAGGAACCTGCAGAGGACGTGTGCAGAAGTAGCTTCAACAATGACTGACACTCGTCTGGCAACTACTAAGTGCTGGGCTCTTTGCATGTTGAATTGAACCCTCAATGTGAATACAATAGTTTGGGTGTGGAGAAGCCAAGTGATCTCGCTTGTGCCCTCTCTTTGACTCTGGGCAGGCTCTGCGATTTCCTCTACCAGAAAGGGACAACAGAAGTGATGGGATGTGATTTCTGAGGTATTGGGACATTCATTCTTGGAACCCAGCCACCATGCTGGGAGGAAGCCCAAGCAGCCTGTGGGGGGGCCACGTGGAGAGGCCCTAAGGCCCCAGCCCACAGCCCTGGCTGTGCTCTCAGCCAGCCTGCCAGCCACGTGAGTGCACCATTGTGCCAGCCTGTCCTCCAGCCCCAGGTCACCTTCCCAGCAGAGAAGTGAGCGGAGTCCTCCTGCTGAGCCCTGCCCAAATGGCCCATTTGTGAATGAAAGACATCACTGTTGTTTCAAGCACTACATTTCAGAATGAGTTGTTATTACAGAGCCCACACAGTCTTTCCACAGCCTCTCACCGAGTCCCATAGCGCTCTGCTCTGCAGTGCGCACCCACAGCGGGTACCAAAGCCAAGGACAGAGATTCTGAAGAGTTCTTGTCTGGAAGGGTGAGACCCACAAAATATCTTGTATTTAAATCCTTACTCGAGGGCATTTTTTTTTTATTGCTTTTAGAGAGAGGAAGGAAGAGAGAGAGAGAAACATCGATGGGTTGCCTTCTTGTACATGTCCCGACCGGAAATTGAACCAGCAACCTGGGTAGGTACCCTGACCGGGAACAGAACCTGAGACCTTTCAGTCTATGGGACAACGTTCCAACCAACTGAGCCACCTGGCCAGGGCCACAAAAATATCTTAATGTCAGCAGGTAAAGAGCACTTCACTTCTGTTCTCAGCAGACAGTGAGTGAGGAAGACAAGGGCTGCCTGCCTGGGACGGCGGGGGCTCCACCCGGAAGCACGTCTGTAGTTCAGCGGGGTTTTCCTCTTTCTGAGCCTGCCGGACCCCACATTAAGAGGCATGTTGTAAAAATTAGTTCCATATCATGGTAAATTTGATTTGCGATCATTCCATTCAGATTAAGGTATCAGATTTATTTTTACATTAAGACATTAGCTCCCAAAATGGATATATATGTATGTGAAAGGGAAGGGTTAGACATACATATATTCCATCAGAGCGGTGTTTTGGTTGGGCTTTGGCAACATTGTTGAAAAATTAGGCATTGTAATCAGGTAGCTATGAAAACAACTTCTATCTCTTCTCTGCCCACAGCCTGCACCAGGTGGTCCCAGAGCCGCGGTCCCTGGAAAGACATAAAATGCAATGTGGTTTTCATAATCTTTTGATGGCAGCCAACTTACCCATCCTGGGACTCCACCCCCACTCTCCTGACAGGGAATCTTTATCCCCCAATCTTTCGAACGGCCAGTCAGGGCAACCTGTTCGGCACAGCCGGGCCCGTGGAGCCCCAAACAAACATTCAGAAGCAGCCACTAATTTTTATCGAACTGTCGCTGTGTAGCAAGCCCTGTGTTAAGAGTTTTGCCATGCCAGAAGGTGTGTCATTCCTCCTCATTTTCTTCAAAAGGAAACTGAGGCTCAGAGAGACGAGGAGCTTGCCCAAGGTCACACAGCTCTAAAGCAGCAAGGCAAGAATCCTCCACCACCTCCTCCCTCCCGCATTCCAAGCAAGAAAGGAGGGGGCAAGGCGTGGAGACACTTTTCTTTTATTGGGGAAGAGAAGCTTTCTAAGAAGCCCTGCCAAGACACACAGGAGGGTTCACATGGCTTTGCGTCGTTGTGGTGAGCTCTGGTGCTGGAGACAGATTGGGTTCAAACCTCTCTCCACCACATACTATTTGTGTGACTGTGGGCAAGTTCTACCACCCACCATGTCTGTTTTCTCCTCTGTAAGACGGGGTCAACTCTGGAGGGTTACGAAGATTCAATGGGCCAGGATGAGTGAATTGCCTGGCACAGGGTAAGCTGTCGCTGCTATTCTCAGCTTCATCAGCCGTCTCGTGACGTAAAGCCTGGTGTGCAAAGGGGAGCGGAGCAGAGGGGTAAGGGGCCCAGGCGCGAGAGCCCTCAGGTGCTTCCACTCTGTCCTGGAGCCATCTCACCCGGGCTTGTTTTCCGAGCGTGTGAGCATGAAACAATAAAGCTCCCACTGCGCTCATGTCTCCCTCGTAGCAGCTTTATGTGACGTGCCACTGGATGTGTGTGGTGTCTGGCCTCTTCTGCATTTCCTTGAGAGGTAGCAGATCAGCAGGGGAGGGATTAGGATGCTATGGGAGGAATGCAAGAGAAAGCGTTAGAGTTCCAGAATAGGCTCGCTGAGTCCGTGGCATCCGGTGGTCTGGAGGCTTTGAGGGGACCAACTTCTTCCTCCATTCTGACCAACCACCCTCACATACCGAGAGGCAAGGCCCCTGAGGGAGGCATGGAGGGGCTTCTAATTCCCAGGCTGAAGGGCTCACTACCCACATCCATGACCTGGACATTGAGAAGGGATACCTGAAAGGAGTGAGGAGGCCGCCTGGGATGCAGGCCAGGTCCTCAGGGCGATCCCGCTGGGTGGGCCGTGGTGGGTGCATTCCCTGAAACAGGGGGATCGGGGGACTTTGGGGGTGGTAGCAGCTACCCCGGGTCACTCGTCCATGCTTGTCACATGGAACCACACTCCTCAGCAGATAGGAGACAAGGGTCTCTGAGGTGGCTGAGAAAAACAGAAACCCTAGTGTAGGAGAGTCCTGTGGCTGCCCAAACAAATGAAGGGTGACTTCAAACAACATAGATTTATTCCCAGAGGCCAGAAGTGCAAAATCAAGGACTCTGCAGAGCTGAGTCCCTTCTCCCTCTTTCAGCTCCTGATGGCTCCAGGTGTCCCTGGGCTTGTGGCCACAACACTCCGGTCTGCTCTGTCTTCACGTGGCCTTCTCCTCTTTTCTCCCTGTGTCTTCTCCTCATCTGCCTCTTAGAAGGAACTGTCACGGGATTTAGGGTCCACTTTCACCCAGGATGACCTCATTTCAAGATTCTTAAGACCCGGAAAAGATCCTTTTTCCAAGTAAGATCACATTCCCAGGTTTCAGGATGAGGACATAGGCATATCCTTTTTTGGGGTGGGGGGTGCACCATTTAACCAGCAAGAACTGTTCAAAGGCCCTCCTCGCCTGCATTGAGATGGTAGAAACTATAGCTGAAAACTGTCCCATCTTATATGCCTGGAAAACAAAACTAGAGTGTGAAGGGGAAGGAGAGAGAGGATGGGAGATGTGTCAGCAGGGTATGGGCTTGGCTCCTGCAGTAAAGATCCAGAGTGGCATTCATCGAAACAAGAGAGAAACTATATATACACACACACACACACTGCGGATGGGCAGATAGATAGATAGATATAGACAGAGAGATAGACATATAGATAGTAATAGAGATTTACTTCGAGGAATTGGCTCATGCCATTGTGGGGGCCTGCAAGTCTGAAATCTATACAGCAGGAGACAGGCAGGAGCTGATGGTACTGTCTTGAGGCAGGATTTCTTCTCCAGGGAATGTGTTTTGCCCTGAAGGCCTTCCCCTGATTGGATGAGGCTCACCTGTACTATGGAAGGTCACTTCCTTTATCTAAAGCCAACTGACAGTGGACGCTAACCATCTCCACCAGATACCTTCAGAGCAACA